GCACTTAAGTTACAGCGTCCACGGAGTTAAGTTATCGGCGTTCCTCTCCAGCAGAGCCCGGCCGACTGACACAACTTTGCCGTTCACGCTGGCTTAACTCACTTAACTGACTGCACTTCACTATTTCACTGCACTTCACTATTTCACTCACTTTTCTTCTTTTTCACTTCTTCCTTTTCTTCCGAATCGCTTTAGACTTAGAACTCAACTGCCAGCGGTGAGCCGCAGTTCCGCTTATATACCCCCGGTCAGGTTCTGGAACATTCAATTTCGTTATTCTTTTTGATTGTCATGACTCCAGAACCTTCCAATAATTTCGTTATTCATTTTTATTTATTCTCCTTCTCGCTCTTTGTTTTTTCATTACTTTCACACCAAAAGCTTCCAGAAAGTTCCACAAAAACTTCCATCAACTAAAAAACTTCATGCTTACGGCGGGACTCGAACTCGGGGTCTCTCTGGTGTAATCCACACGCCTTACCGATTACACCAACTCGTGTTGACAATTCACGACGAAATTTACAATCTCTAGGCAACGTTTGACAACCATCCATTGACGTCATGATGTAAAAGAGTTTGAACCACTTTTTCGTCACACTGCCCCCCTCTTAGATTCGCTCGTCCCGAGCATCGTTGCTGCCGTAATACCTCGCCAACCTGTCTATATGGACAACTTTCAAAGGGCTCCTCGAAGACTTCCGAATTCTGTAAGTAATGTCATTGATCTTCGTGACTATCTCATAAGGACCTTCCCAACTCGGTTGCAGCTTCGGAGATTTTCCCTTCCTTCTGACTGGATTATGAAGCCAGACCAATGACCCCTCTTCAAACCCAACAGAATTGGCTCGTCGATCATAGCGCGTTTTTGCGCGATCACTAGCTTGAAGACCGGCCTCCCTGATCTGCTCGTAAATGTCCAACATTTTTGCCCTTAACTCGCTTATGTAATCGCTAAACTCGGTGCGAGTGTCGCCAGGTGGACAGCCCGATACAAGATCTGCCGGTAATCTCAATTCCCTTCCAAAATTTGCAAATGCAGGCGTCTTTGCGGTACTTTCATGTACAGCAGTCCGATAGGCAAGCAAGAAGAGAGGTATGTAAGTGTCCCAATCTCTCTGATGGCTGTCAACCACCTTTGCTAAGTGTCGCTCCAATGTTTGGTTGAAACGTTCGACCATTCCATCTGACTGTGGATGATAAGGGGTCGTTCGAGTCTTATGGATTCCCAAAAGTTTACAAGTTTCCTGAAAAACTTGAGATTCAAAGTTCCGTCCTTGATCACTGTGCATCTCCAAGGGCACTCCGAATCGGGTGAATACCTGGTTTACCAACTTCGTGGCTACAGTTACTGCCTCTTGATTCGGTATGGCAAAGACCTCCGGCCATTTTGTAAAATAATCCATAACCACTAAAACGTAGCGATTGCCCGAATCAGTGATTGGAAATGGTCCAGCGATATCTAAGGCTATTCTCTCCCAAGGCATACCAACATTGTAGATTTTCATCGCCCCCCTGCTTCTTGTTTGTGGACCCTTGACAGCTGCTCAACTAGTGCATTTCCGGCACCAATCTTCGACATCATATTTCCAATAAAACCTCTCCTTGATCTTCACCAAAGTCATCCTAATTCCCAAATGTCCTCCAGAAGATCCATCATGGAACGCTTTTAATACATCCCTTATTTTTGAACGAGGCACCACCAATTGCAAATGCTCGTCCTTGCCGTTTGTTGATTCCCATTTCCTGCACAGAAGTCCGTTATGCAGCGTAAGGCTTTTCCACTGTGCCCATAAACCTTTCGTTACCGCGCTATATTGGGCGACGTCACTCCAACTTGGCTTGTTACCACTTCGTAGCCACTCCAGTATTGGTTTAATATCTGCATCTCTTTCCTGTTCTAATTTCATCGCATCATCTCCCCATGCCTCGTCAACAGTATCAGTCCTTATCACCTTAAGAAAAGCAGTTTCCTTCTTGGCACAATGCTTGCAATCTTCCACGCATGGGCGTCTCGATAATGCATCTGCGTTGCCATGAATTCTTCCGCCACGATGTTCGATTTCAAAGTCAAATTCCTGAAGTTGTTCCAACCATCTGGCTACTTGGCCTTCGGGATCCTTAAACTGAAGCAGCCATTTCAAAGCAGCGTGATCAGTTCTGATCAAAAATTTCCGTCCCAGTAAATACTTCTTGAAATGGTGCAGAGTTTTGACTACGGCCAGCAATTCCCTCCTGGTCACGCAATAATTCCTCTCCGGCTTGGATAGTGACTTGCTGAAGTAAGCAATAACCTTCTCCTGCTCACCATCGCGTTGTGAAAGGACACCTCCTATTCCGATATTGCTGGCATCCGTATCAACTACGAATATTCCTTTCGCGCTGGGGTATCCGAGAATTGGTGTGTTACAAAGCCGTTCTTTTAGTTCTCGAAAGGCTTGCTCACAATCCTCGTCCCATATAAAGGCACGTTTCTCCTCTATCAATCGATGCAATGGCTTGGCAATGTCTGAGAATCCTTTCACAAACCGCCGATAATACGAGCATAATCCAAGAAATGCCCGAACTTGCGTTTTGTCTTTAGGTGTTGGCCATTCCTTAACAGCGGCAGTCTTGGCTGGATCAGTATCAATTCCTCTCTCAGAAATAACATGTCCTAGATAATTCACTTCGCGCTTAAAGAAAGAGCATTTCTTTGGACTCAACTTTAAATTTGCTCCACGCAGCTTTTCGATTACCCTTTCCAATTTCCTGAGATGATCATCAAAATCCCGTCCAACAATGATGATGTCATCGAGGTAAACTAGGCAGGTTTCGCCCAGTAGTCCCGCCAGCACCTGTTCCATCAAACGCTCAAAGGTTGCCGGTGCATTGCATAATCCAAATGGCATCACCTTAAATTGCCAGAGTCCCTTCCCAGTTGAGAATGCGGTCTTTTCCTTGTCCTTAGGATCCAAATCCACCTGCCAATAGCCGCTTTTCAGATCGAGCGTTGAAAACCATTTCATGCCACTCAGTGTGTCAAGTGTGTCATCGATTCTTGGTAACGGGTAGCTATCCTTCTTGGTTACATCATTCAATCGTCGATAGTCTACGCAAAACCTCGTTGAACCATCTTTCTTCTTGACAAGCACGACAGGTGAACACCAAGGGCTAGAAGAGGGCTCTATCACGTAATTTTTCCTCATATCGTCAATCATTTGTTCAACCTCTTTCTCACGAGCGAATGGTATACGTCTGGGCCTTTGACGAATTGGCATTGTATCACCTGTGTTTATTTTATGCTTCACCAAACCAGTTCGGCCAATATCACCATCGCTTCTTGAAAACACATCAGAGAATCGAAGAAGTAAATTTCTAGCTTTCATAGTCTCCACTTTTGTCAGACTTTTGTTTTCGTCTAAGATTTTCGTTACAAAGTCTATTCCCGCACTGTCCTTCTTCACAAGATTTTCCGAGCATTTTCTTATCCAGGCCACTTCTTCCAATACGCCCACAGGCTGTCCTTCTTCAATCGTAATTTTTGAATCACTGAAGTTGAATACCGGAATGCGGTTGACATCTGAATCAGATGACCCCACGACAGTTCTTGCCGGTAGCCATGAGTTTACGTGTTCCGATTTATCAATCACAGCGCAACTTCGAGGTAAACTTCCTTCCCTCCTCCTAGATAATGCAATTGGTACGAGAGTCTGTGATTTAGGTGCAAGAACAGTTCTTCTTAAACAGCAAACTTTTCCCAGGGTTCCACCCTTCATCGGAATTTCCTCAGTTCCACATAGTAATACTCCAGATTTTAAGTCGATGTTACACTGGTGCCCTTGCAGGAAATCAAGTCCCAGGATGCAGTCATCCAGAATTTTGGCCACAATAACCTCATGTCGATAAACACGTTCCCCAATTTTAATTGTTACATGCAATTTTCCACTTATCGGTACGCGCTGGCCGGTAGCTGATTTCATTCGTAGGCCAACACTTGGTTTAAGGTGTTTCCTGATGTTTTGCCCGAGCAGCCGAACATTCATCACCGTCCTTGAAGCTCCAGTATCTAACGTTAGCTGACTGTTTTTCCCGTTTACTTGACCGTCTATTACCAGAGTATTTCCATCGTTAGTTTGCTTGATGTAGATTGTTGGGGTTATTCCACTACCGGCCAGCGCCCACCCCGCAGCCCTGGCTGGATTTAGTTTTCCTGCTGGTCAGAAGTTGAGACCGCCGCGTCCTGGCGGTTCACCTTCTTCGGGCAGTCGCTCCGCATGTGCCCACGCTCTCCGCATCCATAGCACATGAAGTTCCGACGGCGTGGAGATACCTGCTCCGTTGTCGTCATTTCCCGCAGACGTAAGGTACGGGAGTTACCACGCACGGCTTCCACTTCCAATGCATGGGCCAGAGCTTCTTTCATGTTCTTGTGATGGCCCAGATGAACAGCAGCTCGTACTTCGGGGTCCCGAACACCGTCAATGAATGCTTGGAGAAGCGTGCCTTCAATCATTGACGGAGTCGACCGGAAAGCTCGACGCACAAGTTTTTCGATTTCCACGGACCATTGTTGTAGACTCTCATTAGCACGCTGAGTACGCTCTTTTAATTGCGCTCTGTACACGTGCTCGAGGTGGCTGTCTCCAAAACGTGCCTCAAGTGCGTCGAGGAGGGCACTAAAGCTGAGATCCCCACTTGCGGCGATAGCTTCCAGCACTGAGAGCGCTTGATCACGGAGGGCCAGGGTGAGGGCTGACTGTGCTTCCTTCTGAGTCCAACCATAAGCCTCCATAAGTGTCTCAAACTGTAGCTTGAACGCGGTCCAAGATGTTGTTCCGTCGTAATGGGGAATCTTGAGCCCTTTCGTTGCGCTTGAGGCCACATTTGGGGTGTCAAAAACGGCTGCAAGACGGCTTCGGCTCTTCAAAGGGCTTGGGCTTGCCACTTCCTGTTTGATTTTGGAGATCTCTTCTTCCACTCTCTCCTCTATCGCCATGACGCGATGTTCCAACTTGCCTAACCCTTCCTCCACTTCTTGTACCCGTTCGACAGCCTTTTGCAGTCCCTTCGTGAAATCCCTGTGCATCTCTTCCAAGCGACGCGCTTGCTCCTCTTGGCGGCGAGCTTGATCCTCTTGGCGACGATCTTGATCTTCTTTCAGCTCCCGAAGCTGTTCTGCCTGACAGCGTGCTTGCTCTTCTTGGCGGCGCGCTTGCTCTTCTTGGCGGCGCGCTTGCTCTTCTTGGCGGCGCGCTTGCTCTTCTTGGCGGCGCGCTTGCTCTTCTTGGCGGCGCGCTTGCTCTTCTTGGCGGCGCGCTTGCTCTGCCATCATTTGCTGCAGCTGTAGCAGAAGATCCACCTGCACAGGCTTGGCTTCTGCATCGCTGGTTTGAGCTGCAGCACCCTCTTCCCTCACACGCTGCGCTTCTGACATAGCACGGGTACTCACTCCTCTTACGTCCTGCGGTACTAGCGGCATTTTTCTCCAATCCCACTTCTGACACCAAATGTTACGTGCCTGACGTCACGTTCCTGACTATGCGGGCTTGGGTAACGGGATTGGATGAAATGAAACACTAATACCGGTTTTCAGACTTTCTATTGCACTTAAGTTACAGCGTCCACGGAGTTAAGTTATCGGCGTTCCTCTCCAGCAGAGCCCGGCCGACTGACACAACTTTGCCGTTCACGCTGGCTTAACTCACTTAACTGACTGCACTTCACTATTTCACTGCACTTCACTATTTCACTCACTTTTCTTCTTTTTCACTTCTTCCTTTTCTTCCGAATCGCTTTAGACTTAGAACTCAACTGCCAGCGGTGAGTTCCGCTTATATACCCCCGGTCAGGTTCTGGAACATTCAATTTCGTTATTCTTTTTGATTGTCATGACTCCAGAACCTTCCAATAATTTCGTTATTCATTTTTATTTATTCTCCTTCTCGCTCTTTAATTTTTCATTACTTTCACACCAAAAGCTTCCAGAAAGTTCCACAAAAACTTCCATCAACTAAAAAACTTCATGCTTACGGCGGGACTCGAACTCGGGGTCTCTCTGGTGTAATCCACACGCCTTACCGATTACACCAACTCGTGTTGACAATTCACGACGAAATTTACAATCTCTAGGCAACGTTTGACAACCATCCAATGACGTCATGATGTCAAAGAGTTTGAACCACTTTTCCGTCACAAATAAATGTTCGTGTAAATGTTATTTTAAGCCGGATATTGCGTCACGGTCCGGTCATGTACGCTACACTCACTGACGTTCCCTGTGGAGGCAATAAATACGTTTAAATAAAAACATACATATTTATATTTCTGTTGTATTTTTAGAACACAATATACCAATATTAAACTTTGTGTAAAATTTCATAAGATTGAAAATAAATTACAGTTACACTTTAATTTCCATTGTCACTTAAAAAGTAAGCTTGTTTTAATTTTTCACTTTCATTATTATTTTTAGCTATTAGTCTGATTAAAATTGCGGTAAGTGACGTACCGCATCCTCGACTACTAAACACAACCGCTATTACGTAACGTGACCACTATTACTACAAACTCATGTTTTGGAATCACAAAAACTAGTAGTGTTTTTTGACTTAAGATAACTTAACCTGTAACTAGACTAATTAAAACTTAAATCAACTACCTACATATATTTTTGTGCCACTCTCGTTTAATAATTTAATACAACGAGCACAACCGTTGAAATAGAAGTTCAAAATAGAGCGGGAAAAAAGTACTGCATGACCCTGCAAACGAGTAATTGTAGTTTTTCATTTATTCAAAATTCGCAATTCGTACGAATGTAAAAATAAAAGGAGCTCCCGGCGGCTGCACGCCTAACTTCGCGACTGACCCGCGAAATATATTTAACCAGTCGCTTTGAAAGACTACAAATTATGTAAATTAAAGAAAACTTTTAGTCGGACTATTATGAAAATTAGAAATTCATTGAGAGGGACTGCGACTTTTCAGGAGCGACTGTTTACGTCCGCTGAACCGTTTCATGTGAACTAGAGTTTCTGTACAATTATATTATTTCAGATTTAAAGGATGTATTTAAATTCAGACTCCGTTTTATGTTTACTCGTTTTGTATTTGTTGGCATAAAGTTATTACTGTGACCCTCGCAATGATAGCGTCCCATAATAATTTTATCACGTCAGTAATTTGCACGTCATTTCATCATATTATCATATTACCTAAATATTAGTTAGGGCATAGTAAACACAGTACACACTGCTAAGCAAATCTAATCATAATTAATCTCTGTGTGCACGTATATTCATGCACATTAGCACTAATCTAGTATTTCATTATAACGTTATAATATTTGCAAAATTCTATTTAATAAAAGCTGTAGGCTTTCGCTTAGGCTTCCTAAAATAACACTAGATTAAGGAGCGTTGTATTTTCAATTTTATTCATACTTTAGCATTTTGTCACCGAACTTACTTTGTCATTTGTGTACCTTTTGCCTTACAACGCTTTGTATATTTCAAGAGAATTGAGATATATTATAATTATTGTGTTAAAATATTGACTGAAAATGCTCAATAACGCAATCTCATAAAATGTAGGAAGAATTTAGTATTGCTTGATTTAAATTCTTGCAATCGCATGAATATTTTATAAAATATATTTTTGTGAACGATTTCTCTGAATCTCAGGGTTCATTTCGTTGTCCGTTATGTGGAATATATGAGGCATCGAATATTCTTCGAATTTGTAAATTGCATCAGCAAATAAGTGGAATTGAACGAAATATGGATTAATATGTTCATTTTTGCGTTAAATATCATGAATTACTTATTTGAGTATTTCATGGTATTTTGTGGCCTTTACAGCGATTTTAGTATTCATCATTGATTTAAAGAAAAAATATTACTACAATACAATAAAATTCTGAGTCTACAATAAAATTATAAAAGTTGAAACTTGTTGTTGCGTGTTCTATCATAACTTGGATATAAGAAACATTTTTCTAGACGATACTATTGCGGACGCTTGAATCACATTTATTTCCCGCTGAGTTTGCAAAGCATTTTCTTGCAACACCAGAAAAGAAGCCATTAACCATTTTATTCCACTCGATTCGTGAAACTGAACAATGCTGAAGCAAACATTTTCTCAGCAGATTGCCACTAGTCCAGTTCGTCTGTGCCCGCCCCGGATAAATCAAACGTCAAGCCGAAGATTTACGACGACAACCGAACGTTTCCGAAGAGACCTAGCTGACTTAGCACCAGCTTAGCCAGTAATAAACCCGGCAGACGGCACTTTACTCACTTCTTAGATAATTTTGGAAGACAATAATAAAATAAATACTTACTTAGAAATGATACATTTCTAATGTCTCTTCTTCTGCTTTAATGTATTCATAAAATTTATGTGTTACAAACAAATTAGAATACTACTAAAAAGATAATAAAAATGGATTATGGGATATTATTTCGGTTCTATTTGAAACGAATTTTAATTTTATGATTGTAGGTTAATTATCTCCTTGAATCTAGAGACTGTAGTACAGTAAAGCCTTCCTAAACAGCTTGGAGCTATACAGACAATTAAAGCAGTAGTCTACCTCACAATAGTAGGCGGACAAACCGAAGAAGTGGAGTTCGAAACTGTAACAGCAATCATCTGCGTTTGAGTGCACCGCCTCCGTGCCGTCACAGGCAGAGACGTTCTGACAACCTCACAACACAAACAAAGGAAATTGAAATAACTACACGACAAAGGCCACGACTCCGTATAAACTGGAATGGAATATAAAATAAATTCTAATTTCACAACAATAAGATCCAATTTTGCTAGAAAAACTTCTCCACAAACAATAGCAGAACATTTTCGCTAATTATCTCAACGGAAACCCGTAATTTTGTGGTCCTTTAATGTCAAACATATCTTTATGACAATCGTAAACTTTATGTGGTTGCAATAAAGCTCGTATTGGAGCTTGTCACCAGTCACCACTGTATCCTGTAGGGATGCGATTTTGTTCTGGAATAATGAGATATTTTTAATAATCGTTTCATGAGACAGTAACAAGGAGGTCGAGAGGCGCCAAGTTATACAGCGGATATATTATGAATTATTTATTAAAAAAGGAGAGGGGAATACGAGATAATTCCGTTTCCATTTAAGTACTTACCTTTGTTGTACAGTTTTTGCTCACGTTACGTAATGCGAATACAAAGAAAACTGAGGTCAGTAATATTCATAACAATAACACTGGAGATTAATTTTGAACATTATAAGACACCGAGTCCCTGAACACTGAGGCGAAATATTTATTTAATAATATTGCTAGAACCACTTACTTCTACTGCCCTTATTTTGAGGACAGCTTTGAGAAGGTACTCTATTTACAATACGAACGAATTTTGTCTTGTAGAATACATTCTGTAGAAAATATTTAGCGATTTATAAAAGTCCAACAACTATCTAAATCCCGTGTCATTGCAGCCAAGTGTCGGTAGCTCAACAAAGCGCTACCCGCCACCCGCCGCATTAAAGCATTATTCCTTCCTAAAATATAGTGTAGCGTTAATTCGTTCGACAAGGACGGGCCGGGCTCGGATAAACCACATGAATATGCATGGACTGGGGCAAAACAAGACATTATGTGGAACAATGCCACCCCGCACCTGGCCACGTGAGGGGATCGGACGCCGATACTAAACCCCGGACAAATATGACTGATTTATTGTCCGCCCAAATTGGCCCAGCATTCCGCCCGACGGTTTTTGCAACTGGACATTGGCGATGTGGACTGTGACAAATTCAGGATATTTTTTTAGTGCTGTTACACTAGAAATCTCTGTTTTCGTTGAGGATCAGTGCTGTAGCGTTTCAAAATATTTGTGACACGGTTTAAAGTGTTGTTCGCGTTTCCAACATTTTTCCATAGCAGAGCTGGAAACATTTTGAAGTTATATTTTCCTAACAACGCACTGTTACCATTTTGGACGTTGTTTGTTAAAACAAAACAAGTAAAATGTATATTTTGTAATAATTCCTGAACAATGTTGTACGTGAAAAATATTATTAATTTTGACATGCATTGATTGGTGCATACGTGGCATAATCCTTTAGGAATAATAAATTAATGAAACGCTGTCTTTGTCGATAACTGTATTTCGGAAATAAAATAAATAATACACAAAATATTATAAGGAGGTTTATAATAAAACTGTGCTCGGAGCTTGCTTGCAAATAACTCCCGTATTTACATTATTCAGCAGAGTTCAATAAGAGAATTGTACAATTGTCATAATTGTGTGCGCGACGCGCGGCGCTTACTCGAGGCCACGGTTTACGAGTGCGGACCCAAATTAGTTCGTGCTATGAAATAATGTCAAATGCGATTTTCTTTGTTGGACATTGCGGTTTAAAGTTTCGGGGCACGAGCGATGACAAATTAATTTGCTGTGGTCCGTGGTTTTAGGTGCATTTCATTTATAA